GGGGGATTATTTAGGAAAGTTTAAACTTCCTAAGGAATTCGTAAGGATTGTTTAAAAGGGCTAGTGCTATTCAAAGCTCAGTCCCGGCTGGATCTCCATGGTGTCCAAGGGTGCTGAAGGACCCAAAAAGCTCGGGGGAAACGGGGAGGGGCTGGACAAGGTACTGTCCTGGGCTTCTTTTTCAAAATGGGCAAGAAGTATGGCTCTGAAAATTTGGAGGTTTAAAAGTTCACCATACCTAGAAATACATGGGAAAAAAAATCACTATTCATTTGTGAAATCAGGCCACAGGCAAGCAATCAGCAGTGTGACTTTGGAAGGTAACAATATCTCATCGATTTAACCTCTTCCTGCAATAGAATGACTAGATGGGCAAACTGAGGTAGAGATCAAAGTAATGATCTTGATTTAAGTACAGATCCCAATTCATTTCTGCATGATGCATTCACCAATGGGCTGATGAAGTAAAATCTACACTGTGTAGCTCTTAGGTGTGCGTGCAATTGGCTGCCAGTTTGAAATGAAACCAAGAAGGAAATTAATGGTGGGCCAGAGGGATTAGTTCTGGGAAATCCATTTTTCTCAACAACAACAACAACAACAACAACAAAAATATCAGTAACTTCAATGATAGAGTCGACAAAATGCTCACAGGTCTACAGGTGATATCAGCTGCTGCTGGTAGGAGAATGGAATTCAAAGCAAATTTTCTTAAGATAGGGGGAAGATATAGCATAAATATAGGCTTAAAAATTGTCTGTGTGCTAGGATGCCAGAGAAAGAGCGTCTCCAATTGAGACTTCTGCGGACTATGGGAGTGATGTAGAGACCACATACAAAAACGAAAACAAAAAAGGGAAAAGGGACAAAGAAAAAGAAGTTGTGGTTGTGAGGTACACAATTGGGTGAGAACTACAAGGTCATCTTCTGCTGATGGCCCTGCGTGGTTCTCACTCAGGTACCAGGGCCAGTTTGGGGTTGGCTCAAAGACAAATGGAGAGGACAGTTGGGATTTCAAATTTAGGATCATCAGGTCTTTGGGGCATTTTTTTTTTTTTTTTGAAGAGACAGGGTCTCACACTATGCTGCCCAGGCTGGATTCGAACTACTAGGCCCAAAGCCATCCTCCTGTGAAAACCACCTGAGTAGCTGGGACTACAGTGTGCACCACCATGCCTGGGCTTTGCAGCATGTTTAAAGGAACCTAGGTGATTTAGTCAAAAGAGAACACTGCATGAACCAAGGCCTCAGGTGCTTCTTGCTGCCTCCATTTCCACAGAGGAGAACACAGGGATTTGGGGAGATAGAAACATTTTCTAGGCAGTTATTGAACAACAAATCTTTGGAGGAGTTCATGGAGTACTGTAACCAGAAAGTCTTTAAAATGAAACCCTTCTAGTCGTTTGTAAGTGTAGGGGAGGGACTTGGAAATCTCCGAGGCCTAATCATGCTCATGAAAGGAGTGACATTAATAGCTTTGGAGATGGTGTCTTCCTCTCCTTTCCCAGGTTAAGTTCAAGCAATAACAGCAGAGGTTCGACCCAATTCCATCGAGTCTTTAAGCTGGACCCGGGGAAATAACTGTTAGGAAAGAGGCAAGCATCCAACCCACTCGAGCTGCGGACTGACAGTCCCGCTGGGATCGTCCCATGGAGACAACTGCAAGTCTTTTGCATGAGCTAAACCCCACTCCACATGGAATCGAAGGTGCTCATTGTCAGCTACCACGCAACGCCATTATCACCTTTCAGCCCAAGTGCCACAGACCAACACTGGCTCTACTCCAGTGAGGTGTGGAATTCGGGTTCTTCTGCCTTCAGGTCACAACCTTTCTGACTCACCTGGGCTACACTAAACCTGAAGCTCTGTACGAGGTGGAGAGCGGTGTTGCCTTCATTACAAGTGGTGCAGCATTGGATTTTCAAGTAAGTCTAAGTGTTTCTATTGTCCTTAAAATGACATATGTCCAGTTATTTTAAAAAATTACAAAATACAAATGCCCGTGTTAATTTAGCTAGTCTCAGACATTACATTCGACAACATAGAAAAGCCAAAAGATCTCCAGTTA